AAGTCTTCCCTTTCTTGTATGGACTAGTTCAAGAAGAGCCCTTGGCAGCAGCAGTCCCCCTCTGGCCTGCTGAAAACTGTCTAGCCCAGCTGGATGAGAAGTACCAAGGAAATTATAGTCAGTGTTGATATTTCAACTGAAAAAAAGTGATTAGGATCTTGTCATCCTTGCTAATGTTTAAAAAGTTAAATAAATAATTCCTCACAGAGTCATACAGCAATTCCAAACATTCACCTCTTTTGAAAAATCACTTTCATTAAGATGCCCAAATAAAGATACAAATATTTTACCTGATTTTTAAAACTGGCTAATAAGGCTGATTTCTGGAATTCTCATCCTCTGTTCCATGAAGTTTTATCAGCAGTATTTTCCTTAATCTACTTTGGACATGGCAGAGGTAAATTTCCAATTAGTATTTTCTTTCTTTTTTTCCAGAAGCCGTACTGCATCATAGGCATCACCTAATTTCATAAAGTGCCTATAGGTCAGGGTCTGGCATGTGTCATATTGTTTGTGAGTGGATATTTCCAGTAAATGTAGTTTTCAGTTTATACTTAAGAGTGGATGTTGATATGACTCAAAAACTTCATGGTAAATTGCAAGTGAACTTTAAAAATTTGATTTGTCAAAGATAATGTATGTTCAGAGTGTTAAAGTATTATAATTAGCAGCTGTCTGAATAGGTGATCAGAAGTTCTTCAGTAAGGAAAGGTCAAGGAATGCAGCAGAAGCTACTTTTGTAAATGCTGTGGAACATGATCAGTCTCATACAGACAGCAGTTTAGTTATGTCTTCTGTATGAAATTAAAATCGGACTAATAGCTTTTGTGCACATGGACAGTAATAGAATAGAGTTTGTCTTCACAAGAAGAAGGAGTTCTATTCACTTCAGGATAATGTGTCAGGATATCTGGAGGTGGATTAAAGCTCTACCAATAACGTCTGGTAGACGTCAATAACGCGTGAATCTGGGCACAACCTTTAATCTTATTTTTCACTGCCTTTTACTGTAAAGATGTATTATATACAAAATTATTACGAGGCTTAATTCATTGCCTGTAGTTGTTTTGAATCTTTTTGCAGAAATGCATTTTTAATTATTGAGTTCTTCTTTCCAGTTTTTAAAATTGAAATAAAAGTCTGGATACGACTATTACAATGAGCTAGTATAATCTGCATATCGCATACCAAGTGATTCTTGAATCCCATGGTTGAATTTGGAATTTATTCATACAACGTGCTTTGGTCCTAATGCAATAAAATGTGCACATGTCTATTTAAGCATGAATCACATAGTGAGTGCCGATGTGCCTAAAGCAAGGATTTGCTCGAACAATTTGTGGATTGAAGTGAAAGTACTTGGAAACCAGAGAATTTGAAATCTGGAAACACAATCATTTGTGAAACATTTGTAATGCTTTTAAGTGGTGGAAAACCTACTACATCACTTGATCACCTTGGTGTAAGAATAGTTCATTCCTCTTACTTTAAGAAAATCTGATCCTTATATTAATTGTTTCAGTTTCTACTTCTAACCCTTGAATGGTGTTCTCCTATATCAAAATTTGAAGCTGAATTCATATAACATTTTCAACTTCAGTGCATCTCCCCACAGCAGCAGAGGAAGGGCCAACTTCTCATTCACACTTTCCAACTGTATCAGCTTGCAGAGTTAAAGATAATATCCTTCCCTTTAAAATATCTCTTATAGAAGTCAATGCATTTGTCTTTAAGGAAAAACATGAGATGGAGATTATAACATCTGACTTTATTTCACATTCTGAAGCTTCCAGAGTGCTTGCAAAATATTCATTTCAGTCACTGTCTAAACTGTTAATTAGGTATCTGACAGCCATATTAGCTATGCATCAAACAATCTGTGCTTTTAATCTCCCTAACCTAGGAGACATAAAAATATTTTTTTCATATCCAGTGCAGATTTCAGGAGGAAAAAAATACAGTACGTTTAAGCTTACCTTTCTACATTGCTTACTAAATATAGTGTAATACAAGTAGTAATATGCTGTGGAAAAGTTCTACTGTAATGTAATATGCATTTATAAACTAGGAGTAAAAATTTACTCATCTAAAATGATTTCATTGTCCAGGAACAAACACTTTTGGCCAGCTTGGTGCATATGGTAGACCAAGTTGTCTCTTCAAACAGCCCACCAAATTCAATAAGCAAAGTGAGCAGACTTGGATTCTGTTTTCTGTAGGCATTTTAGAATAAATGGCATCAACTATTTCAGAGCTACTACACTGTGAAAGTACTTATGAATGCAATAAATTTTACCAAACTGAATAAAACTCTAAATGAAAAAATATTATTAATAAATGCAATAACACAACTTTTTTTCTCCGGAAGACCATTGTTGTAGGTCCATAGGCCACTACAGCCAAAGGGTTTCACACTTTTATCAGCTGGCCCTTAATATACCAGAACCCATACTGTCAGCAATGAAATGTAAACTCTGTAAATGGTTATTCTTCTATCAGTGACATGTATTTTTCTAAAAGGGAAAATGTTGCACACTAAAAATAGAACAGCAAAAGCCTGTCAGTAGTTAAGTGCAAGCTTGTTTGCCTTTACAATAAGGAGTACTTGCAGTTTACAATAAGTAACGCTTGTAGCTCAATGTTTGTAGCAATATTTGCAAATGAAAAGATATCAGGCTGGAAGCTTACATTTAAGAGGTCGATACTAGCGCTACATGAGGGATGCTGAACTTTGGAAAGGTATGCGTGCTGTCCAACCACTGAAAGCCTGGAAGGTAAGATATAAAGCATTGTACGTGTTCTTGAAAGCTGCTGAATCCTTATCACTGCCAGAGTACAGGTAGGAACTCAGGCTCCGAACAGAGGCACAGGAGCACCCCCCGCCCTCCCCCCCCCCCCCCGGGTTTTATAAGGCTAAGAGGCTTATTTGTAAGTGAGGGATAGGACTGTTCCTCTGCTTGTGAAAATTCTTTTCCCTTCATTTCAACATTTGAACAAAACATTTAACGGGAAAATGATCCAATAAGATTTAAATCAGGCCTCATTCGTCTGCGCTCTTTCCAAATCCTTAACATCTCACAGCAGCGCAATTGGTCTCTACTAAGTTGGGGGTTAGGTTGACATAATGGACATGTACATGTACAACAGTCCAGAGGATATGTTAGCCTCAACTACATATTCCAACTTTTTCTTCATATTCAAGTAATTGTACAATCCTATCGTTCAGCTATAGAAATCTAAAACTTTGATTTAGTGAAACACAGGATTTCAGTGAATAACTTGCCAGGAAGCATTAAACATTGGTGCAATTTGAAAAATATGATTTGAAGTAAGGAAATGAGTAATCCCATAACAAAACAGGAAACTATTAAAAAGAGTTGTCATTCATGTTGCTTATCTTGATAACCGGAACTAGAAAAATGAAACATCAGGAATTCTGCTCCCGTACAGCCTTATTAGGTATTAAAATGTGACTACCTATTCTACTGATTGTGGACTAAAAAATTTTTATAATTGTTACCGTGCGTTTTGTACTTCTTCCTCTTCAACATTTTTCTGGTACTGTAGGGAATGTTATACAAACAAGCCTGAGCTAGAGTTTTTTAAGATCCTCTACAATCAGCAAAATAGGATGCCTACTACCATCAACAGGTCTGTGACATTAAATCTACTTCAATATCTGTTTCTAAGGTTCCTCGGGTAGAAGCTGTTCTGTCATTATAGGAAGAACATGGATAATGGGATGTATTTACTGACAATCTAACATCCTTGGGAAAATATATAAAATCACAACTGCTTTCATTAAAACAGAAGCAGAATAGTGAAATTTACAGAAATGTATATATCAGTAATTCCTAATACAATCTATTTCTTCAAGAAATGACAAGAAATGATCAGTGTCTTATATGGCAGCATTTTCTTTCCTCTAAACTAAAAGATACAAAGCTTATAATTAAAGATACAGTAGTATAAATACATAGGTACATCACAGCTCAGTAAACTGGGGCTGATGGTGCGGAAGACAGGTGATTCCTTGTCCAGCGGGATATTGTGCTCTAAAAATCAGCGCTACTCGCTCTTAACAATGTATGCTCCCTCTGCAACACATCACAGCAACAGGAGACTTCTCAGAGATCCTCAGTGTGCACAGAAAACCATTTGAAACTATTGAGGTTCCTCCTGAAATTCATGAGTGTGTTTGTAGCAAGAAACTAGTTCAGGAGTCTGGGAATGCTTTTATGATGGTTTCATAGGCAGGAGGAGGGGTTTGCGTGGAGTGGCAGATGCGGAGGCTGTTGTTAGACCAGTGGAATTCAGGTCGACTTAAACTGTTGGTGGTGCTTCCCACAAGGGTTGTGGTGGTACTTGTCGGAGTCAGGGTGATCAACTGACTGTTCATTTCCACTGGGAGGGGAGGACTTTGCAGGAAAGGGTGGAAGGTGGATGCCCGGAAGCTTGACTTGCGGGGGAAGGAGTTGGCTTGCTCCAAGGACGCTTGCCGCTGGAAGGTGAGGCTGGCCAGGCTGAGGTTGCTCCGACGTTCACAGCTGCTGTTGCGATAAAATCCAGTCCTGCCTGCAGTGTGGCTGGGGGAGGGGGGTCTGGACCGGCGGCTGTAGGAGAAGGAGCTCCCCTGGGAAATGTGGGCGCTAGCTCGGCGACGGGACAAGCAGGTAAACAAAGCCCAGATGATCCCTCCAATCACCAGTCCGACCGCCATGGACACTGTGAAGGCTATTGTTATCTGCTCTGAAATACAGCAAAAATACGCAGCAAAATTATTTCATCAACCCTAAAGGTTTTTCACGGCTGCAAATTAATTGAATATGGCAGTCTCCTTAAAAGAAGAGCAAACCTCAAGATCCTTGTGATGTTACTGAAAGGTCATATAAAATATGAACCTTACAACATAAACACAACAACTGATTATTCTCACTGTACAGTGCTTTCTTTTTCTTAACTTCCATAATTCAAAAGCCTCTAGAGACTAGCTTGCTTTTGATACCAGCGTCTGTATTGATGCACGGGAAAAGTCTTTCGCCTCTGCCAGAATCAGTCACCCACCAGCCACACAGCTGTGTCATGAAACCACCAAGCATTTACTTCTGTGGGTATTATACATGGATTTATGCATGCTTGCCATTCTATTTATGGACGTTTATATTCTTTATATACATGTTTGCTGGCTGATCTATAACTGAGTTGTAGCTTTTGCCATTTTCTTAAGGGCTTAAGCACTGTATTTATTGTAGCATAAGAACATGTTCCAGTCTTTTACTGCTGAGAGATGGATATTTTAAACCCTCGTAGTAATTAGTGCAAATTGCCATAAAAGATTTTGGCAAGAGAGAGCCTTTATTTATACTAGGTCACTCACATATTTCCCATCCCCCATGCCTAATTTGAAGATATATTAATCCATCATTAAGAAAAGAGTAAATTTCTAGCTCTTTTACACCTGCTTTCAAGCATAAAGAGATCTGAAAATAAAAAAAGAGCACAGCTAGGATCACTTTCTCTCCCACATGGTTTCACAGTGTCAGGGAATAAGGATTTTCCTCCTATATTTCTAAGAATAGGTCAGTCACCTCAGAACATTTTTCACTTCTGCAACTGAACCCCAGCTTTACTTCTACGCTAAGAAGTTTGGAGGTACGTTTTAAAACCTGATGGTTAAGGCCTGAGGTGAATGCAAAGCCCTGACAGATCCCCTACAAATTCAAAAAGGGTGTGGATCTGAAACAAGAAGGGTTGGTATGTTGACTACTGATAGAGCAAAGAGGGGTGAATGAAAAAGAGCCATGGGCCAACTTGAAACATGCTTTTTCTATATCATGTTGTGAAGCATCTTTGTTAAAAAGAAAATTGTATTACTGCAATAGACAGAAGTTTGTAACTCTATTAGCATACAGAAGTGTAGGCCAGCTAAGATCACAGCCATCAGGACCGACTCACAGTTAGAGGCACCCCAATATACACCAACAGATTAATTTAGTTAAAGTCAGGCCTTGATGACTAGCGGGACTTAAATTTGGTATAGGTATACTGCAGAAGGGGGAAAGCTACCATGTGCAGCTTTCCAATTGCCTTCCGAAAGAAAAGATGTAAATTATTATTGGTATAATTACACTTTAAGAGTTAGTTATTGCTACCTTCCTTATCTACCTTGTTACTTCTTTTTTTGCCTCTAATGAAATTTTGTTATTTATGTGATTCATACTTCCTAGGCTGATTCATTTTTAGCTCAACTGAAATGCTAGTTACATTATTATATTTTGAGAATGCCAGGGAATCCCCCGAACTCAGGGATTTACGCTGCTACCCAACATCCCCGTTGCTGTTTGGCCTCTCCGCTCCAGCAGGGAGGCAGAGAAAGGGCTTTCTGCAGGGCTCTGCAGGCTCCAGCAGAAGCAGAAGCCACGGAAGCTGCACAAGCGTACCTGCCTTGGGGGTTGCCATGCACCATGCCGAGGATTTGTCCCTGCATCCCTCTAGCCATAATTTTCACCACCTGCACAATCAAATCAGGGTTTCACACCGTTAAAAGCAGACAAGGGAATTGACAAAAGTATTGAGTGCAGCTCTTCGGTCCTTCCTGCGTGCTGTTCTCCTGTGCTGCAAATACAGCACAAGCAATTAGCCTTTTTGATAATGTCTTCATTTTCTTTGACTTTTTCAACTCTTATTTTTCTACCTCTATTTACGAATGCAAAAATAGAGGGTCAAATTAATCCCTGGGGAAACTCAGTTGGGTTTAAATGGATAATTGCAGTTCCCATATGGTATCCCATAGGCTCTCATTTCATTCAGGACCTACCTTTTATACTTCTAATTTTTGTTATAGTAATATCAGTACATCCATGGGTTGCATGTACTTTGTTCTTTCTATTCCCAGATTCTCCTTGACTTCAGTGGGAACTGTGGGGGCACACTAATAGGTTGAACTTGCTTTTTGCTGACTCCCTGCAGAGGACGAATTTCGCTGAACGTAATTCAGTTCTAAAAACTTACATTGAAGAATTGTAAATCCATGTCCATTGATTTCCTCCTTAGAACGTTCAGTGATCACAACCCTGAGGTACATTGGAGAAAATACCACAAAATAGAGATAAAGATCAAAGACAGAGCAGGGCTTGCTGCACCTGGGATTTTGAGGGGAACAGCTGGCTTTCGCACAATTGTTTTTCCATGTTCTGAGTAGTTTCAGGGCAGAACTAGCCTTTCAGGAGAGTTAGAGCAATATTACCAGGTAATATCTCCCAAGGAGTCATTATAATATGTTATGGTTTGCTTAAAGTTGTGTATGTCATTCTGTCCTCTGCTTTTTAGAAAAGAGAAAGCTGGTGACAAGGTGGGGATGCTGGCAATAACTCCTCAAGTGCTGGTTCCCAAAATATATTTTGAAGTCTGCATTTCCCAGGATGCTCGCACATTCTGCTTTATTTGGTTATGCTACCACCAAAAAGATGGGGTACCCTATCTCATTCAATTTTATCCAGTCTCAATTCTAACACCAGCTGAGGTGAAGGATATTTCAACAGTGCAGAAAGACAGACTTTTAGGTACAAAGCCGGAAATAAATAGAGATAAGGAAACAAAACATAAGCCTGCCATAAGTTTAGCAACTGAATACCTTAGCGACGTTTCCTTTCTTATCTGTGATCCTGCAAGTGTGTCCATGCTAAAAAGGTTGGAGGTTCAGAATTCACAGTAACACCCATGATTTCTGGGTACTACTCACAGATCTGACTGGCAGTTTAGCACATGGCTGTCAGCCCAACATCTGGCTGAGCAATCCAGACTGGGCAAGTCCTTCTGCAACTCTCTCTGTTCACCCCTCTCTGATTTATCTATGCAGGATTAAGCAAAGGCAGAGCTAATGTTTTATATGGAGAATTATTGCCTTTGCTATGCAAAGCTCTTTCTTAGTCATTACAGCATTCTTAGACTTTCGTAACATTCCACAAATTATATATGTGAAGCATTATATCCTACCAAGCCAATAGCCTCTAACAAGCCCTTAGCATCCTATAGAATTCACACATGCCAAATTTGGACATGCAATTAGTAAAGACAATAGATCTGCTGATAAGGTGCTTTTGCTAGTTACGCCCCTGGAACAAGTTCTTCCCAGCCAGTTTACAGATCCAGTAGCAAAGCCAGCCAAACAGGGCTTATATCAATCCATAAGTCTTCTGAGAAGGGAGCTGCTTTCTGTCCTTCGTCTCCTTGGAGTGTACCTCACCAAAAATTAACAACATGGTCCCTAACTAGACTTGGCAGACCCTGGAGCAGCCAAGCTCTTCACGAAATAGGTGACCTTTTCATGATAGAGTGTCCTGCCTTGCAGAAATACCCAGGTCAATCTCTTATTTCTTTAAGACATTCATTTCTCTTTCATGTGTACAGACCACATCAAGACAGTAAGACATCTCTTTTTTATTATTGCTTTATTAAAGGAGAAATAATTAAGGAATTGTATCTTAAAGTTATCGATGTAGTCCAGTCTGCAACTGGTTGGTCAAGAATCTCATTGCTCTGCATTCAAACACTCTTCTTGCTTTAGAGATCTTTTGTTCGTGCTATGCTAGTGCAGGATTCTTTTCTTCAGGAACTGACAGTAATGTTTCTATTTCTCTTTTCCTCCACTCACCCAAAACTAGCATGAGGCATTGAGCACCTAACCTGCAAACTTTATTCTGTGTGCAGCTCGTATGCAGAGCATATCACATACAAGCTGCTTGATTTCAGCTGTATCAGAAAAGTATCAGAACATACTATTCTCTTGTACAGTGGAAAAGAGCTATTTTCATATTTTATATCTGAATTTTAGAATTTTAAACTTAATTCCATTTCAGTTCTTTCCGTCTCACATTTTTGTGAGTTTTCTTTCCTTTATACCGTGGCACATGCCAGTAACTCAAAACTTGTTTAAGACAGTTAGCATTCCTCCCCTACATACATACATGTGCACACACACATGCACTGACTTGTCCCGAAGCCAGAAAACTTTGACAACTGGTAGAAGGTTTCATCTTTGACTTCAGGAGAGCTGACTTTGGCCTCTTCGGGACTTCAGGAGAGCTGACTCGTGGTGCCCAGCAACAGGACAAGAGGCAATGGGCAGAAACTGAACCACAGGAAGTTCCATCTGAACCTGAGAAAAAACTTCTTCACTGTGAGGGTGACAGAGCATTGGAACAGGTTGCCCAGAGAGGTGGTGGAGTCTCCTTCGCTGGAGATATTCAAAACCCGTCTGGATGTGATCCTGGGCAATATGCTCTAGGTGACCCTGCTTGAGCAGGGAGGTTGGACGAGATGATCTCCAGAGGTCCCTTCCAACCTAAACGATTCTGTGATTCTGTGATTCTGTGATCTCATACCTGCAGAAATCCAGCTCAGCCTCTACCTCATCCTTTTTTTTTTTCCTCAAACGAAAACTCAGTGAGAAAAGCTAGTATAAAACCCACAGAAAACCGGATTGGATTTCACACCTGAACATTGCACCACCTAGCGTAGAGCACCAGCTAGTGCATTTAAGTATGAATTGCACTAACATACAAATGGCAGATCTAATAACCTGACTAGTAAGAATGGTTCAAATGATGTAGTACAGGAATCTCAGTAGCTTTTCAAGTAATGTTCATGTCAATCATCACTGAATGTTCCTAATGCACTCCAATTTGTGCAAAATCAGACACGAGCAGCCAGGTTCTCTCAAAGTTTCAAAAGACTCATAGCATCCTCCT